GTGCAAGTCGCGAGCCGGCTCTTCTCCGTCTGGGCCATCGCCGCGCGTTTCCCCTCGGTGCGTCCACGTCCCGTCCCGGCCCATCGTTATGCTGACGGCCCCATAAAGGCCCAACGCAGTCCGTTCTACGCGAGCATGGTCCTCTCCTGGGCGCTGACGGAGGTCGTCCGCTATGCGTTCTATGCGGCGACGCTGTTGGGGGACGGAAGCGCCCCCGCGCCGCTTACCTGGGTGCGCTACTCGACCTTCTTCGTGCTCTACCCGACCGGCGCGGGCTCCGAGGCGCTCGTTAACCTCGCCACGCTGCCCGTGTCACTCGCGCGCGGCGGCGCGTGGTGGGACGCGCTCCCGCTCGCGCACTGGGACGCGTATGCCATCGCGCGCGGTGTGCTCTTCGTCGCGTGGTGGCCTGGTATGTTTTGTTTTCTAATGCGCGTGCTTCCCGTGCTGATTGGACTCGGTGCGAAGGTCTGTATCCGATGTATACGCACATGATCAAGCAGCGCCGTAAGATGTTTGGGGGTCAAAAGCTGGGCGCAAAACCCAAGACCCACTAGACTCGATTCGACACGCGCATATTCAGTAAGTTACAAGTGTAGAGGATCAATTACGTGATTGATGATGAAACCAACATACAATGATGCAGCGAGATATGCAGTACTGTACAGACAAACTGGAAAGGATACAGCTGTGATGACTAATGATAGTTGGGCGTTGCGATTTTAACGCCGCAGATCTTCATTTGTTGTTGTTTCCGTCTGGCCAGAGACCTATCCTTCCCCCGTTGCGGTAATCGTAAGTGGAATACCCTGATCCCAAAAACCAATCAACACAATCCCAAAGATAAAAGGGTCAATCAGACATCCTACAGGATTTCAGAAACACGTCGCCAATGATGGCCAGGTTCGGCGGCAGTCCACTGTCTATAGAGAGAACGCCCGCGACACACGCCGTGGAGCCCGCACTCACACGACCCAGATAAAAGTCGTTCGGGTGGATCGCAAAGCGGTTCCCGTCAAACGAGAGTTCGATTTGCTTGGCAGAGTAACATGGCACGCTCCAGAAGCCTGGTGCAACTATTAGAACACAAGAAAAAAGGGCCCCAAAGCAAGGAGACTGACCTGGACCGTACTGGTTCGCGCGTTTAGAGCCAGGAATGAGCGCATAGAACGCGGCCGCGAGGGCGGAGGGCACGTAAATAAGCGACGTGCCGGTGTCAATCGCCTGCGAAACACCGGACCAGAGAGGAGAAATACACTATGAGTCAGCAGGCTTGCGCGTGCACGAGCGCTCCGGGGCATACTGCGGTCAATTTGGCCGGTGCCCTCGCTCCGTTTGCCCACAGGCCGTCCATGCTGACGGTCCAGTATGACTTGAGTATTTGTAACAATTAATGTATTGGTGAGGGAAAACGGCGTGCAGCTCACTCTGGATACCACGGGAAGCCACGTCACGGGACCGGTCGTGCGGCTCGAATCGACACAGCCGAAGCACACCTAATCCCGTGAGGACGCCGCCGCAGCAAGGGCAATACAACACATACGGAGGAACCGCTCTCCTCGTGCCGGGAGAGGTGCACGGAGAAGAGCGGCGCTGCGAGCTTGCGCTGCGCGATGAGGCTCTCGAAGAACGTCGCACGGCGCGACTGCGCGATCGTCCCGAACGCCATGCCTATCAGACCGTCGTTCGGCTGCGTGTCCATATCGTCCGACCGCGCGCTGACAGCGCCGAACGCCTGGTCTGCGACGGCCAGCCCTGCGATCGACACGACGTCCGTCACGAGTCTGCCCGAGACGTTGCCCGTGCCCTGTGCGCGCGCATTATTACAGATCGGTCGACGGTTTGTGGAGAGAGAGGGGGCCTACGTAGGTGATGGAAAAGCCCTCGCTGGTCGGGTGGAATGTCGAACTGTGCGCGGGCGAGAACTGGTGGCTGTGACAGGCCTGGCAGGCCGAGGGCACCCAGAGGTCCGCCGAGCCCGTGTCGACGTCGACGGTGAGCACCTGTGGCGGGGTGCCGAGGCTGACAGAGCCGTAGTAGAGCAGGTCTAACGCGCCAGCGACGTAGTCCCGCAGCGGCAGCAGCTGGCCCGCCGCCGTCGCAAGAGAAGAAATCGGCGTGTCGTTGTAATGACGACCTGGATCGGCGGGTTTCGCTGGGTCCGTGTCTCGACCAGGAACGATGTTCGGGTCGTCGTAAGCATCCCTTGCGGCACCCACGGTCGGTGCACCGTCTGACACACCCGACGGAGAGAAGGAAGAAGCGTTGAAACTGCTGGGAAAGTAGCGATCGACCAGAGCCATGACGTCATCTTGGTTGAGACCAATCCCAGCGAGATAATCGCCTGAGCGTGCGTATTTCAAGGGCACCGAGCGGGATTCTCTCTCCTGCACAGGGAAACGAGGTTAGCTGATTCGTCCGGTGGGTGCAGGAGGTGGACGTAGCGACCGCATAGCTTGAATTGAATATTCCCAGAGGTTTCTTCGGTGAAGACTCGGGCGGTAACACGGGTCTGTGTGAATAGCGTCATCAGTCAAGAGAAAGATACGACAATCGGCCGCTCGTAGTAAAGGCATACCCGGCGTTGCTCACGGGGGAAGCGTCGATGCATCCGACCAGCATATAAACAAGGACCAAATGTCGCGAGAGCATTTCCAGGCACTCGATGAGAAGATCCGGGAATAGAATCGCCCGTCTCCTTCTAAGCCCGTCATTTCAGTCTAGACGAGGATAAACTGTGCAGGGAATGTAAGGACGTCGCCATGGAGAAATGGGCCGTTGGACGGAAACGCGGCGTGCGGGCCTATAAGCAAAAGTGCGGCCATCTGGTGGTTCTGCGAGCGGTGGTAGCTCGGGTAATTCTCATCATGACGTGAAGACATACGCAGGGTTGATCTTAATTAAGCGATTACCATAAAGAGGAGAGCACACTTCCTGCCGTACTACCGCCGCCGCCCAAGTAATTCAATTCCGAGTCGATGCCTCTTTGGACGCGCTCTTCTGAGCTCCAAGCCTCCAAGTTACATTTTTCACCCTCGGAAATTATTCAAGATGGCGCCGAATGCCAAAATACGCACTAGTGCGCGTGAGTCCAATTTGTCTTATTATAATTGCCAGCTGGACCACCCGTCTAACTTCTCAATCCCTCAGCCCAACCGTCCGTTTCCCTCTCCTCCTCAGTCCGTTATACGGTTTTTACCGTGTCCTTCGCTCTTTTCCTGTCTCTCCTCTACGTCGTCGCCTCTCTAAAAAACCACACTCCTTTCATACCACTCGGGATTTCATATCTCAACTATGCGTACTGGCTATGCGTTCCTCGCCGCTCTTTCTCTGTCCCTCACCCCATGCGCCAGGGCATCCTTTTCTCTACAGGATGAGTGGATAGGCGAGGAATTCTACCAGGGATGGAACTGGGAGACCGAGAACGATCCGACGCACGGCCGCGTCAACTACGTCAGCCAGGCTGAGGCTCTGGGCAAAAACCTGACATATGGTGCGGTCATTCCCCTCTGCCATTCGACTCTCGCTGAACCCGTTATTTCCAGTGGACGGCAATGGGGCGTTCGTCATGCGTGCGGACGATTGGTCCATCGTCGACCCTGCCGCGCGCGGACGTGACAGCATCCGCATCTTGTCTCAGAACGCCTACGACGAAGCTATATTCGTGCTCGATCTCAAGCACATGCCGGCGGGCTGTAGCACCTGGCCTGCCTTTTGGACCCTGAGCAAAGCTGGTCCGTGGCCGAACGGCGGCGAAATCGACATCATCGAAGGTTCGAGCAACGCCTCCCCCCTCTGAAATTCAACGCAAAACGCTAAACGCGCGATTCCACTACAGGTGTCAATCTGAATACCCATAACCAAGCAACCCTGCATACTACCCCAAATTGCACGATGCCCCCCGATTGGTGGCGCGAACCGCAGACTGGGTGGGTCTAGCTTTTGTTACACCCGGACAGAATTTTCCGACTGAATAAAAATGGCGTAGACAGACTGCGAAGACCAATTGCGACACGGCTGCCGACTTTAACGCGGGCTGCGGCGTCATTTTCACCGATCCCCTCCCGTCCTGCACATCCTACGGCGCCTCGTTCAACCGCGCGGGTGGCGGGTATTTCGTCATGTACAAAGGGCGCGACTCTGTCAAGGTCTGGTTCTATCCGCGAGTTGGTTATGTCCCGAGGGTGATCCGCGACGGGGCGGGGCGGGGACAGCCCGTGCGCCCGGATTTCACTTGGGGCTTACCGGCTGCGAACTTTCCCTTCTTCCCCAACCATTGTAACTATGATCAACACTTTGACGCACACCAAATCGTGTTTGATCTGACTTTTTGCGTCGGTGTCCTGTCTACCTATCCTCTGTTTCTATCCATGGCTGACGCGCTTAATTTCACCAAGGGCGACTGGGCTGGCAGTGACGGCGTTTGGCCTACTTCCGGCTGTGGGACGGGGACCTGCCCAGACTGTAAGAATTTTAATTATCGAGACCCCGATGTCCAGGCTCGCTTATCCTCTTTCCTCAGTTGTCAACAATAATCCAAGTGCGTTTGCTGAGGCTTATTGGGAAATCAATAGCTTGCGGGTTTATACGACCCAGTGGTGAGAGGACCGATTAATGTGCGATACCTTTGTTCTGTCTTTAGTTTCCCGACTTATCTTGTGATGTGAAGGCCATTCTTTCGTCCTGTTCCATATCCTTTCGCATTGTTTTCGCCACCTATACATGTCCGGTACCATCTAGTTTACCACAAATCACGAGCTCTATTGCACTAATCGTGTCAACATTATGTGCAATCAATGTGCTTTGATAGAAGCACTCCAAGTTTTCAAGAATTCCATCAGATGTCGCTTAGCCGCAAATTGGAGGGTAGTCTTCGACGCCATATGCCGAAGGGTGTCAACTCTCAAGATCTGCATGGATTATCTATGTACGGGTTGAAGTACGTGCGATACACTGTTGAAGTTTGGGTTGGATAGGACTTCATTAATTCATTGTTCAATGCATTGGTGGGGTAGTGGTAACCTGGGTCGTTGCCACCTCTTGCGGATTCGACCCGCCCCGGGTTCGATTCCCGGTCAATGCAGATGTATTTTTATTTTTATTTTTTGACCAGTTTAAGGGCGATCAGAGCGAATGGAGACGAACACTGGCAGTCGCGTATACTCAATATTACCGGTTTTTAATTGAGCTGGCCTTGGCAAAGTAGCCCAGGTGCCATCCACTCGCCGAGTCTGCTGATGGGGGCTCCTACCAGTGAGAATGAGGTATCGGTATCGTAAAATGGCTGAGGTTCGTACACTTCGTTGTGGGTCTGCCGACGACGTGCATCGTGGCGTTTCGTTGGATGGGAGACCGCTCGAGGAGGGCCGTTCCGCTTGGGGTGTTCAGTCGCTGAGGTGGACGCACTGACAGGTGCGTTGCCCTCAGAATGTGCTGGATGGAGACGTCGACACCAATCCCGGCCGGACGTCTCGTGTACCTTCATACTGGCCTCGAGAGCTCGAAGCACTATATATATAGTGCGACTGCGCGCAGAAATATGGGATGCAATGGTGATTGTGGTGAAAAAAAAGAAGAAAAACAGAGATATGGCAACTACAAAAGTGAGACGACCTGAGGACAACTCTCAACATACTGACCACTGACACACAAAACGCCGTGCTATGGGAGGTCCTCATGGCTCATAGCCTAAATTGACGTCACGCACAAAACAAAGGGCGTCAGCGAGCTCACGGGCGAAACGAAAACGGAACGACGGAGCAGACAAACTACTAACCCACGAGCCCATCACGACACCGTGTCACGATAATGACGATGTTGATGCCGCTGCCCGCGCGACGGAGCGGGGTGCTCCGGCCTCAGCGAGCAGTACAAGAAATGGCGGCGCGGGAGCGTCGCACTAGCCATGCCCGCGACCGCCGCGACGCGCGCACCAAGGGGCGCGGTATCTGTGCCGCTGCCGCGCACGCCGAGCGAGAACATGCGATCGAACACTTTCCGTCACACCATCAGCTTTAATGGTAAGAGGAGGGGTGGTTGCGCACAGGGTGGCGACGAACGCCTTGGCGGTCGTCTGGCACACGAGGTGGGAGAGCGCGAGCGGGGGGCTGACGCCCTCGAGCGTGCGGAGGTATCGGAAGACCATCGAGGGCTGGCACGGCCCGAAGCGGAAAACGGCCTGGTAGGCCTGCCGCCACTTTTCGTCGAGGAGCCGCGCGCAGGTCTGCGGATCTGGGCAGGACGGACACTGCGGGTGTGCGTTTTTTCAAGTTTAAATCGTTATCTGAGAGCTCAGCTACGTACGCATTCGTATTCTTTGGCGATCTGCACGAGGCCGAGTTTGAGCACGCGTTCGAGGAACCAGGTCCGTCTGTGGGTAGAGCCAGCAGTGTGAGGAGCCCGCCCACTCGCGTACGTGAGACGCCCTTACCGCTTTTCGAGCTTGAGCAGCGTGTCGCTGCTGAGCGTGTTGAGCTCTTGTTCCGGCCAGCCGCCCGGATTGTCGAGCACGAAGCGCGAGGCTTCGCGGTAAAGCTCTTCCTCCTCGAAGAGCTCTGCGATGCGCATCGCCTTGATTGGGCGGCCGGCGGCGTGCGTGAGGAGAAAGTTGAGGCAGATCCGCTGCAGGGAGGGCACGCAGAGCTTGTTGCCGATGTTCATGAGGCCCTCCACGTTGTTCCACGTGATCGTGCATTCCATACTAAGGACGTCGCAGGTCAGGGTGGTGTACTTCGTGGGCCCGATTCGTGTGGGAGGTAGTAGCGTACCTGGGATAGACGAAGCGGAGAAAATCGTGAAAGGTGCTCGCCTGAGCGCAAATGAGAGCATGTCCCCAGGAAACGGAAAGAGGATCAATCGCACCTTTTCTTCTTTGAGCACAATAACAGCATCTGGATTACTTGTCGCTTGGTGGTGCTTAGCTGGTGCGTTTGCCCGCTTCCAAGAGAGTTTGACAATCCTATCGCCTTTTTCTTTATCTGTATCCCTAGGGGCATCTCCCGGGGGTGTAGTAGAGTTCCGTAACAGCTTCTCCAAGCTCGCTTGTCGTGCGGCCTCATGGGATTTCCTCGTCGGGGTTGCGGTGCAGCTGCCGCCTTCCGAGCGCGCACCCGATTCGTTGCCATGGGCATCATCAGATGTAGACTCCGGTTCGCTCGACTCTGAAACGTCAATGTCCAACTCATCCGGATCCATGTCGGGGTCCATGGGTGCAAACGCCATGGCCGTCGGCGCATCGGGGTGTGTCTTATCCCCAGGAACGCTCGGTGGTTGAGAAATAGTAATGACAGAGGACATGGAAAGGGGACGTCCGGTCTCTGCCCAGTTCCCGCTGAGCGCGGCTTGGAAGAACGGCGATGCGAACCAGAGGATCTCCTTGTGCGCCCTAAGTCCGGCGGCATCAGCGATTTGAAAGGGATGGGTGGAGGCTATACGCACCAGAACGTCGTGCTCTCGACGACGATTTTGACCGTCCCCGGGAACTTGGAGTGCTTCGTGAACGCCTCGTCGACGTCGATGGGCTCTTGCGGGTCGGCGATGCTCAGCTCAGAGATCGCATCTTCCGTGTCTGCGCCTTCGAGGAACCACGGTGGTGATCCGGCCGAGGAGCGGAATATGCCTGCGGCGGCGGCGTGTGTCTCCGTCGGCGAGCTCAGAGCAGCGGTGGTGTTCGACGGGCCACGGGAGTTGCGCGCGATGAGGATGTGGGATGGGTTGGTCGACATTAGACGTTGCTGGTTTGGAAGAGATGGCCTGTGTATCCGTCAACCATTGGATGGATATCCCCGGGCTGTGCAGATCGGCCTCAAGGATCATCGCGGCCCGTTGTCAGGTGGGATCGGTGTAAGGCCTTTCTCGGGCATACAGTACCGTCTTAATACAGACAACTTTTACAGTTCACCAAATGCGAAAGTCACGGCAATTCGTGTGTCCTGAGAAAGCACTCATTTTTGACCCGTCTTGATTAATTCACCTGTGAGCTCCCAACAGGTATCGGCGCTATAGTGTAGTGGCTATCACAACGGATTCTGATTTTCTCAACCTTCCGTTAACCCAGGTTCGAACCCTGGTAGCGCCTTCTTTTTCTCCCCTCGAGTCGCCTGTACACCAGTTGCACAAGTTCTACCTATTTGCATGTACGTAACTAGACACGGCAAGCACGAATCAAGTTTCATCGACTATACAGAGTTCCCCGAGCGAACACCGGATAAGCGTCCAAGGACTTTGTGAACGATGGCCGCACTCAAGGCCGCATTGGTTTTGGTACTTGCTCACTGAGTCACTAGTCTCCCTGGGACCTTCTTGGGCTGGGGCCAAACAGCAGGTATTGCTATTGTATGTGATCTTTTTTGCCCACCCACGTTTCCAATTCGTGATTACTGTCCCTTGGACAGAGAAAGCTTTTTTTGGAACTTTTGATCGGCTCTGATAAATACAATTGGCAGTTTTACTCCGTTTGTTTCAGTGGTCTGTAACTACACAATGTATCGCATGTCGCGTATAAATATATCTTTGTGATGAGCTGTCCATTTTCATGGACGACGAAGAGGCAATGAGTGAAGGCTCGATCTACTGTGAAGGACATGTGCGGTTGTAATGGCAAACCGTGGCGTGCGCACAAACAAAGGGGTTCGGGGCAAACGAAGGGAAGGCGTCCCCAAACAAGGCGTTGTGCAGGTTGAATAATTCCCCTCATGTATGTTTACATTGCTGACGACCGCGTTAAATGGCGTTGTCGGTCGGATCTCGTTCGGGTATTTCATGACGAGCTCTTGTCCTTGTCGGATGCGGTTGGCTTTGCGCGTTCTAGCTGAAGCTTCGGTGAGCATATCTGCATTCAGTAGATCCCTCGTTACGTCTCTCGAGCAACAGTAAGCGTATCCGTCACGGACGCGAGGGCACTCGAGGTGGGAAAGCAATGGACGAGAAGGTTCGCCGCGGTGGTAACCCTAGACGCCGTGAGCGGGATCAGCCCGCATTTCAACAAAGCTGGATTCACAACAGGTGAGTATTCAGCTCCTTCTATAATGCTCACTGTGGAGACTATGGGATGGACGCGCCTCGCCTGAGAACACCGAGCGTTGGCAGGCGGGTGGGGAATGGTTGTGAAGGTTGGATCTTGGTATTGATAGTCAGAGGCACTCGTGGGAGTAGGATTGGTGAGGTTCTGGATGTCAGGGGAATCGAGGAGGGATCGCTGGGGGGTGTAAACTTTGTCCAATTTGGGAGGGTTCACCACCAGCGTCACTTCACCGAGAAGCGGCCCTGACATGGACCTGGTGCGAGTGGGCCTCGCAGATGCCACGACGACGACTCCTAGTCCAGTGAACGGCCAATGGTAAGGTTAGTCACGGTACACCATTAGAAGTGGGTTGATTCGTCGGTGCGCTCTCTGGTCGTGAACAGCCAGTGACACTGAGATGAGAATTGAAGCGCTCGGGGGCGATAGATCTGTACAGTATGACGTTTGGCACCGCGGTGATGTAACGGGCAGTCATCACCAATCTGTCGATCAACGGATCGCTGGGTTTGCCTTGTGTTTCAAAAAAGGGACTCGTGTCGTAAGACGACGCCTTGAAGGAATGATGACACCTTCCTTTCCAGCCAGTGGAGCACGATCTTTGCGTCGTGCAAGACAGGGTCAGCGAACGCACCACTCGCCCGCTGTAAATCCGGAATTCGGGGAAATTAAACGCCCTGTTCCACGGTGGTAGTTTCGATATCACGTCACGTCGGGTAGATACGACGAGTGGTATGCCACAACGACAGAGGTGGTGCACAACGGGTCCGCCACAGAATTGATGGGAGAGTGTGGGAAATCAATCGTGCGGTGATAGTCTGAGAACATCAGGACACTGACATGGGTATATCGTCAGGGTATTGGCCTTGCTCGGTATGGTGAATGAAGAAGTAGATCGCGCTCGGAGCTCAACCATACCCGTAAACGTTCATACCGAGATTACTGTACTGTAGGCGCGCAACTAGAGACAAGGCGTGGACCGGTACCGCGGTTACCGAAATATGACAAGAGGGCGAGTGCACGTGCGGGTCACAAGCGAGTGCAACGACACGTTCACGCTAACT